GACACTCATTAACACCATACTCTAGGGAAGGCTTGTCTCTTTTAGGTTCTGTAGCTGGACTATGTAAATGAATCTTTAGTCTTCTAGATTCCTTATCAGACATCTGCAAGTCAGAGGGACATAGAAGCAGGATAGTCTTTTTTGTTTGGATTGTTTTTTGCCTTCTGTATATTTTTTCTTTTCACTTAGACTTCCATTTTGGATTTTGAGTTTCCTTATAAAAACAGTTCTTCTCCTTCAGCCTGAGAGGAGAGGTACTATCAAGACTCCGGTTGACTTAACTGTCTAAGCCTTCCTTCACTCAGACCTAATAAAGCTGCTGTTCATGGTTCTCTTTTCTTGAGTGATATTAGCAGATATTAATAGAATAGGTTAATAGATTCTATGAAGTATATATATATGAAGTATATGTGTGTATACTTGTTTCCCATTTTGTATTTATCCACTTATAATAAATATTTAATAAATATTGTTTTGAGTGCTTGTTGTCTGCCAGGTACCGTTCTAGGTGTTGTAGGAAAAGTAGAAAAGCAAACAGAAGTTCCTGCCCTCTTGGAGTTTATATGCAATTTTTAAATGAGGGACAGAGATAGACAATAAATAAGAAAAATAAAATAGTGTGATAAATGCTAAGAAAAAACATAAAAGAAGGGAAGAGGATATGTTGGTGTAGGGCTACAGTGTTAGACAGGCAGCCTAGAGAGAGTCTCCCTGAAGGTGACTCTTGAGTAAAGACCTAAAGGAGATAAGAGAGTGAGCCTGCAGATATCTGAGGAAGGAACATTCCAGGCAGAAGAAACAACAAATGCAAAGACCCTGGGCTGGGAGTATGCTTGTCATGTTCGAGGAAAAGTGTGACTGAAGCAGTGTGGGTGAAAGAGAGAGCAGTAGGAGGTGAGGTCAGGAAAGGAACAGTGGCATCTTGTATAGGGCCTTTTACTCAGAGCTGTTGGATGCTTGGAGAATAGGATTGACATTTTCTAACTTGTGTTTTAACAGTTTGGCTCTGTGTTGAGCATTGATTGAAATCTCAAAGATTTTAGCAGGGAGATATCGAAGGGGTTTTGGCAGTCATCCATGTGAGATGGTGGGATCCTAGGAGTGGAGTTGATGAGAAGTGGTCAGGTTCTGGATATATCTGGAAGGTTGAGTTGATAGATGTGCTGATGGATTGGACATGGAGTATGAGAAAAAAGTGGAGAGTCCATGATGATGAAAATGCTTTTGACCTGAGCAAGAATGGAATTGCCATTCACAAATGAAGCTGTGGAAGGGGTAGGTTTGGGAAAGAAGATCAATAGTGTAACTGTTTTCTTTTATTTTGATAAAATGTATGTAACATAAAATTTGCCATTTTAACTATTTTTTGATGTACAATTCAGTGGCAACATCCAGTGTTGTGCATGCATCACCACTATTTCCAGGTTTTCTCACTTCAAACTAAAACTCTGTACTCATTAAGCAATAAATCCCCATTCCCCAGCCCACCTCTAGCCCCTGGTAACCTCTAATCTGCTCTCTGTTTCTATGAATTTACCTATTCTAGATGTTTCATGTAAGTGGAATCATGCAACATTTGTCCTTTTGTGTCTGGCTTTTTTCACTTAGCATAATGTTTTCAAGAGTCATCCATGTTGTAGTATGTCAGAATTTCATTACTTTTTTTATGGCTGAATAATAATATTCCATTGTATATATATACCAGATGTTTTTACCCATTAATCTATTGATGGTCTATTAGGCTGTTTCCACCTTTTGGTATTGTGAATAATACTGTTATGAAAATTCTCATATAAGTATCTAAGTCCCTGTTTTCAATTCTTTTTGGTATATACCTAGGAATAAATTTGCTGATTATATAGTAATTCTGTGTTTAACTTTATGAAAGTTGAACCAAACTGTTTTCCACAATGGCTGCATCATTTTATATTCGAGCCAGCAATGTATGAGCCTTCCAACTTTTCCATATCCTCATCAACACATGTTATTTTTCCTGTTTTTGGTTATAGCTAACCTAGCAGGTATGAATAGGTATCTCACTGAGGGCTTGATTTGAATTTCTCTAATGACTAGTGTTGTAGAGCATTTTTTCATGTGTTTATTGGCCATTTGCTTATCTTCTTTGGAGAAATGTCTCTTCAAGTTATTTGCCTGTTTTTAAAGTGGGTTGTTCTTTTTTTGTTGAGTTGTGGGAGTTCTTTATATATTTTGGTTATTAAACCCTTATCAGGTATATGATTGGCAAATATTTTCTCCCATTCTGTGGTTTAGCTTTTCACGCTCTTGATAGTGTTCCTTGATGCATAAAAGGTTTTGATTTTGATGAAGTCCAATTTATTTATTTTGTCTTTTTTGCCTATGCTTTTTGTGCTGTATTTAAGGAACCATTGCCTAATCCAGCGTCATGAAGATGTTCCCCTATATTTTCTTCTAAGAGTTTTATAGCTTTAGCTCTTAAATTTAGGTCTTTGATCCATTTTTAGTTAATTTTTGTATATGGTATAAGGTGAAGGTACAACTTCATTCTTTTTTGTATGGATATCCAGTCCTCCCACCACTGTTTGTTGAAGAGACTGTTGTTTACCTGTGAATGGTCTTGGCACCCTTGTCAAAAATCAATTGACCGTAGATGTCAGGGTTTATTCCTGGGCTTTCAGTTCTATATTTAGATCTATCCTTATGCCAGTACCATACAGTTTTGACTACTGTAGTTTTGTAGTAAGTTTCGAAATCAGGAAGTGTGAGACCTCCAACTTTGTGGTTCTTTTTCAAGATTGTTTTGGCTATTTGGATTCTCTTGGAATTCCATATGAACTTTAGGATGGATTTTTCCATTTCTACAAAAATCACGGGATTTTGATAGAGATTGCATTGAATCTGCTTTAAATAGTAGTGTCCTCTTAACACTATTAAGTCTTCCCATGCGTGAACACTGGATATCTTTCCATTTTTTTAGATCTTTCATTTCTTTCATCAATGTTTTTTTAATTTTCGGTGTACAAGTCTTAAGTCTCCTTTATTAACTTTATTCCTAAGTATTGTATTGTTTTTGATACTGTTATAAATGAAATTGTTTCTTAATTTCCTTTTCTGATTGTTCATTATTAATGTATAGAAATACAATTGATTGTTGTGCATTGATTTTTTTATCCTGCAACTTTGCTGAATTAGTTCTACCAGTTTTTCTGGATTCCTTTGGGTTTTATGCATATGAGATCATCTCATTTGTGAATAGAGATAGTTTTACTTCTTCCTTTCCAATTTGGATGTCTTTTGTTTCTTCTTTTTGCCTAATTGCCTGACTAGAACAGTATTTTAGCTTTGGATATGTCAAATTTGAGATTCCCATTAGACTTCCACATGGAGATATCAAGTAAGTCGAATATTTGAGTCTGGATGTCAGGAAATAGGTCTATGCTAGAGATATGAAATTGCAAACTGTCAGCATGTAGCTGGTATGTAAACCATGAGGCTGTGTGACAGACCACCTAGAGAGTGCGTATAGGTAAAGAAGAGAAATGGTCCGAGGGCGATGTCGTGGAGAACGTAGCTTTGTAGAAGTCGCGAAACTTACCTTTTCCCATTCCTCTTCATCCCTTGGTCCTAGAGTTCAGGTACTTCCCGCAGATGAAACCCTGCCGGCTTCTTTTGGATGGTTCCACAGAAGAAAGTGGATGCCACGGAATGGGCTTCTTTTGGATTTTATTGGGGGCTGGTCATGTCACTGGGCCTGTCATTCAAGGATGACGCTGAAGAACAGGATTGGGTTTCAGCCAGAATCTTACTTGATGATTAGAGACTCCTACATAAAGGCCTTGTCTCTAGACTCAACTCGGGGAGCTTTGCTGCAGTTGTTCTACTAATATTCGAAACAGATGAGAGCTAACAAAGAATATTCCAGGGGGATAGAAGATAGGGCAGCAGTTATCCATTAGTGGCTCATCTGCCACTTCTCTGCATTCTTCTTTTCAAAATCTTTTTGATTCATATTATCCCTTCATTCTCCTTCCTCTGCCTTCCCCAAATATACCCATGTGGTACACAGGTCCCTTCAATTCTATCCTGTGTGTCCACCTGGGGTCCTTTGAATGCCTTTTGTTCCTCCTTCTCATTTATCCACAAGGACCATTCAAGACATGAGTAAGTGTGCAGTGGTTAGTTCACAGTTACACTAAACAGTTGGTTGCATTTGAAGTAGATTGTATGAGTTATAAAAGTATGTGAATAATGTGCATTTGCTTTTGTTTTTGAAAAAATTGTGTACACACACACTCCCTGAGAGAGAACATTTGGCTGACTATATACCAAATTATTAAGCAATAGTTATTTTTGGCTGGTGGAATTACAGGGGAATTTATATTTCTAATTATATATTTCCAAAGCATTTAATTTTTTTGCCATCAGCGTGCATTTCTTATGTAAGTAAAAAATATTTTAAAACTTTTATTTAAAAAAAATTTACAATTCCAGTTAAAAGGAGATGCAACACATAAATAAGCAGTCCCGTTATCTATGCTTCCCGTGTGCAAGAGATTAAAGAATTTGGGTGACCCATGCAACAGAAGCACAAGCATTATTGGGTACATGTATCTGAGACAAGGATATGGTTGCCTAGAAGCCTTGGGAGAAATGGTTCTTAAGCCTTCAAAGAAACGCCTTTTTTACCCTCTCCTTCCTTGGAAGTCCATGAACAGGTTGGCACATTTGGAGTTCTGCCAGCTTAGCTAGTAGAATGGACTTCTGGAGGGAAACATTTTTTTTGCTCTTCTACTTGATGTCCTGGATTATTTTGGATTGGTTTAGGGATAGTATCTGAGTTTCTATCTCTTCGGCTGTTTTTTTCCCAGGAATACAAAGGTTTTTTTCTTTGATATATGCTTAAATGTTTATTTTTAAGTGATGTAACTTTTCAAAAAACGTATTCAAGTTTATTTCTGTGGGAAAAAAATATTTTTTATATTTTTGACTGTTTTTTGTTCCTTCTCTTTTGAAATCTCTAGCCAACAAGAACATTAGTCATGACAAGCATGCCATCTGAGTAAGTACTCATTGTTTTTTATAACTTTCTACTCAATATAAAATTTTAGACTTTTCTTTCATATACTGTGATGCTGTGCTTTGGGGCAGGTCATAGATCTGTACTGTACCGCTGTTGCTCTATTTAATTAAATATTGGAATTAGAAGATCATTGGAAATAAAAAGGGTGGTTAAAAAACTGTGAACAGTTTAGCTCTGAAGGCTTTCTGAGTTGTGTAGACAGCATTAAGAGGTGTTAGGTATTCACTCTTCCTCTAGCTTGCTTCATACCTAACGGCTCTGTGTGTCCACCACCCCCACTCCATGAATGTCCGATATGTGGAGAGCATTGCTGGCTGGAACATTCCCCTCAAAGGTCTTAAAGAAACCCTGGTGTGAAGCTTTCTACAGCGATGTTAAAGCAGCCATGTACACGTGTCGTGGAAGAGTTAATAGCTTGCTGGCATGCTCTTATCACCTTCCTTAAACATTTAACACAATAAAGTACATCCAACAAAAATACAGCACTATATTTTTTGTAACAGATTTTTGAATTCCTGTTTAGAGGGGAAAACCATGTTTTCTATGATCAATCGTAAGTTTTAAGGATTTAAGACACTCATCAAAACATTGGGATGTTTCAGTGAAAAACAGGCTGCTAAAAGAATGTTTAGAACACTTTCTCTTGCAGGATCCTTTTCCTACCCATGGCATGAAGTTAAAAGGACTGATAATTCAAACACCATCGTTATATAGTGAAAAAGGAGCACACTCACAATTTGTGTTAATGCATATTGAAATGTGAAATATATTGGACATCCTAAATAGTCTAATACAGAAATGAATATTCAATATGAGCATAAAATTTTTAAAAGTCTATATTTTTGCTCCAAATAAGAAAACATTAATAACTAGATACTTTCTCAATCAAAGGTTTGAACATCAGACTTTTCAGTTTAGGCCATATTCTCTTTTTATTCTTTTCCCCCACCTATGCTTCTTGTCTGAAGTGAAGAACGAGACCCAGAACAAGATGCCACATGGATCAGCCGTGTCCTGAAAAGACGCCTGTTGTTTATTAGCAAATCCAGCAAATAGCTGGCAGCTGCCAGACTCGGAATGAGGAAAATCATGAATATGCAGAAATGAAGGGTTCTGGAGAGCATTTGATTTAGAAGTTTTTCTCTTTGCTTTTGTTTTGTTTGCCTTTTTTTCCCCCAAATGTAGTATTTTCCACAATCCCAATAAGCACAGATCCTCGGGTTGAAGTGGTGATGAGATGGGGCCCAAGTCTTGACCCATTCATCTTCTCTACCCTAAGGATCTCTAAGAATTTAAAACCGTGACGGTAGTTCAAGACTTTCATTTTATAAGGCCTGCAATTGACATACCCAAGGCCACTGGAGATCAAGCTAAGAAACTCGATAAAGTGGAAGGCAGATTATTGGAGGCAGTCAGTATGAGCATGGACAAGAACTGACTTTTTCTCCTTTTAACATAATTTCTGGAGAGGAGATAAGTTTATTTCTTAACACATTGTATATGCTGTAGTGTGGCTTAGAAATCCCTACATACCCTTTGTATTTCACCGGAGAGTTCCAAAATTTGCTGGGAGAGAGGGAAAAACAATGTATCAGAATTAAGGGGCTTAGAGAGGTGATCGTAGAAGGAAGAGTGGAGAGTTCCTTGGTAAGGAAGTTAGCTAGGAAGAATATTAAAAAAAAAAAAAAAGATACTTAAGGCATTAATGAAGTGATGGACCAGAAGGTAAACAATGATGAGCTTTGTGAAAATAAGGAGCCTCTGCTCTAAGATTTGATCTGATGATTTAATAAAAAGGGCTTTTTTTTCCCCTCTTAGTAGAAAAACTACGTGTTTGACTCGCAATAAATGTTGTATTTTCAAAATAATTAAGTGAGAAGCTTTGTCCTGACCATGCATAAATTGGGTCAAATAAGTGAAAAAAGTAAATAATTGCTGTGGCGGGCAGAGCACTGGGCTGGTGTCAGGAGGGCTGGTTTCTGATGCTGGCTGCGCTCCTACCCACGGGCTCTGGGGAAGCTGTTTACAGCCTTGCAACTACAGTTTTCTCGGTCATTAAAATTGACGGTTGGAGTTGAGATCTGGAGTTTTTTTATTTCCCCAAATTTTATGTCATTGATTGTAAAGAAATTAAGACATGAACATAGCCGAAATCAATGTAGAATTTTAGCTTTCTAGTTTTTTTTTTTTTAATTCATTGTAATCTCCTTGATGTTCACACGCGGGAAACATATTCATTTTGTTGATATTTTTCTTCCTATTTGATAGAAAGCAGAACGTCATCATCCAGGTTGTGAATAAATTGAAGGGCTTTTCATTAGCCCCGGAAGTGTGTGAAACTACCACTCACGTGCTCGCTGGGAAGCCTCTGCGGACCCTGAATGTGCTACTGGGAATTGCGCGTGGCTGCTGGATTCTCTCTTACGAGTGGGTAAGCAATTACTTGAGCAAAATATGTGTTTGAGTTACATATTCTTTTTTTTGTGTGTGTGAGGAAGATCAGCCCTGAGCTAACATCCATGCCAATCCTCCTCTTTTTGCTGAGGAAGACCGGCCCTAAGCTAACATCTATTTCCAATCCTCCTCCTTTTTTTTTTCCCTTTTGCTCCCCAAAGCCCCAGTAGATAGTTGTATGTCATAGTTGCACATCCTTCTGGTTGCTGTATGTGGGACATCGCCTCAGCATGGCCGGAGAAGCGATGCATTGGTGTGTGCCCGGGATCTGAACCTAGGCCGCCAGCAGCGGAGCACGCACACTTAACCGCTACGCCACAGGGCCAGCCCCTACATATTCTAAAATAGAAGGTGTTTTGATAGATTTGGGCCTCTGAGTTGGTGACACTAGATTCATGCCGACGTGCCTCCTTGTCAGTTTGCGCACTTTCCTGTGAGCGGTGAATCCCGTTCTCTCCTTGATCTCTTCTCCCTGTGGTTCATCACCCTTCAGCCACTGCTGATCCCTTGGGAACAGGAGTGTGGTGAGGATGGAGAGGAGGAGAATGAGTAGACTTCCAGATAAAGACCTCTCGGCCCCTGGCAGAAATAAGATCAGAACAGACTTGGAATGAAAACACAGAATGCATGTTCTCACAGTCAAATGCACTTTCTTCTCTGTTTGACCAAGAAATAATGTGACCTATGTTAGTGATGGTTTAAAAAGCCAAAAGAATTCAGTGATTGTTTTTACAGATGGATTTACTTAGGATGAAACATGTTCATTTAATCCTATTTGGATATGTGTTATCTTACCCATATCTATCTGTAACATTACTTGCCCTTATTTCTGTGCATTGAAGCTAGGTTTTAAAAAAAAATCATTGTTTTCATTATTCATAAAAATTGAAATTGTTTGTTATTCTTTCTATTTTTACATTGATCGTCAACCTGTGTTCACCCCTAAGCATTGCTGTCTGATGAAAGTAGCGTCATTTTTTACTTGTGTTACTATTTGTATCTGCTAAGTATCCACCCTCCTTCCTTCTCCCCCTAAGAATGTATTACATTAATACTGTGTTAATTTAATCCAGTAGAATTATAATACACAAACAAACTACAGATGTATTTTTAAGAACCACTGTGGTCTTTTTCTCGTGTCATAATTTAGCCCTGCAGTTCCCTGGTACAAGAGGTTTAAGACAGTAGTGCTTCCAGTCATGAAGTGGAAAAGGTGGAAATTCCGTAAAGAAGTACTACTTGCAGTGGTGGCAATTGAGGAGTATTTTACCTAATTATATATTAGTACTGATGCACGTTTATTTGCATGAAATTCATTTGTAACTCCAGCTTCCACAAATGAATACCCTGTTGTCTTGCCCTCCAATTTACAATGTCTCTGTATCTTCATTAGTCAGCTCTTCCTTCCCTCGTGTCTCAGAGGAGAAAAATGTTCTTTATCTTTTATGAAGATACGCATCCATACTTGATTCTGTACCCAACCTATGCTTCTGGGACTTGGAGAAGACCAGAGAGGTCAGACGTGAAACTGAGCATTTACTGCTGCCGTGTGTAAAGACCAACTCTCCGGATGCCTCCATGTTTCTGCACAGTGTGCTGCAAGTATTCTCCCACTAATCCTATGTAGAAACAGAACCAGATGCAAATTTAACTTACAGTAACTATATGTGGGATTAACCACTATATGTGAGAAAGGCAGGAAGTAAAACATGTTATTTAATAAACTTCTGGTGCTCAGACAGGACTCCCCACCTGGACTTTCTGTCTGGAGGGAGGAACCTGGGCCATTCAGTCACATAAGCGAATGAATGACATGTAAGTGCAATATAAGGCAGGAAAACGAATTATAAGGCATTTAGGTTGGAGAGGAAGAAATGAAACTATCTCTATTCATGGACAAAGTGATTGTCTATGTAGGCAATTGCAAGAAATCTACAAAAAAGCTCCTAGAACTAATAAGTGAGTTTAGCAAATTGTCAGCATACAAGAATAGAATAATACAAGGTCAACATGGAAATATTTAAGTATAAATCTAACATAAAAATATATGCAGAATCAGTATGAAATATTGATTTAAAAAAAATCAAAGAACTAAATAGAGAGACATACTGTGTTCATGGGTTGGAAGACTCCATATAGTGAAAATGTCACTCCTCCCCAAAATGATCTGTAGATTTCACACATTCCCAATCAAAATCTAAGGATAATTCTTTGAAGATACAGACAAGCTGATTCTAAAATGTATATATAGAGAAAAAAGAACTAGCATAACCAAAACAATTTTGAAAAAGAAGACCAAAGTTGGAGGACTAACATTTACTACCTAGTTTTAAGGCATCCTTTGAAGCTGCAGTAACCAAGACAATGTGGTATCAGCAGAAGGACGGACATAATGGAGTGGAATGGACAGTCCAGAAGTAGACCCACACAAATATGGCCCGTTGGTTTTCACAAAGCTGCAGAGGCAATTTAGTGGAGAAAGGTCAGTCTTTCCAGCAAACAGTGCTGTCGCAATTGGATATCTAGATGCAAAAAAATGAACCTACCTCATGCTTTATACAAAAATTACCTCAAATGGATCATAGACTAAAATGATAAACTCTTAGAAGTAAACCTAGGATAAAAATCTTCATGACCTTGATTTAGATAAAGTGTTCTTAGATACAACAGCAGAAGCATGATGTGTAAGAGAAAAAAATTAATAAATTAGATTTAATCAAAATTAAAAATTTTTACTCTGTGAAGAACATTATAAAGAGACCATGGGAGGGCCGGCCCCGTGGCTTGGTGGTTAAGTGAGCGCGCTCCACTGCTGGCGACCCGGGTTTGGATCCCGGGCTCACACCGACGCGCTGCTTCTCCGGCCATGCTGAGGCCGCGTCCCACATACAGCAACTAGAAGGATGTGCAGCTATGACACACAACTATCTACTGGGGCTTTGGGGGG